ATAATTTTCTTAGTAACTCATTTTTGAGCTCACCAGCTTTTCGGTTATCTTTTGCTGTGAGGTACGCCATTTAGTTTTTAGTCGCTTCTTAGCAATCCAACAGTCTTTTCTTATCATAACTTGCATTTTCAATAATAATTCTCAGTGTATTTTTCCCGAGTGTTTCGTTATGCTACAGTGTTATCATTAATATGAATTACTGTATTATCGTTACATCGATTTTCTTATCATTATCACAGCACCATCATTTTATTCTGTAATCAACTTGCTTGTAAGCAGCCCTCAGTTGAGTGGAACAGTCTTGTCAGTTAATGGTTGCTGTTGACACTTGCTCCCGTCGGTATACTTCGAGCGCCTTCCAGCGGAGACGAATAAAATTCCCCTGAAAGAATGAAATTTTAAATTTTAATTTGAAATAATGAAATTTTTATATTTGTAGTATGATTTAAATTACAGATGACCTGAGTATTTGAACTATTTCCACATTAAGTCACATTGCAGAGACCCGAAAAGAGGTCTGGGTAAAACCCACGAAAAGACCTTATGCGTATGGGAATCGCCTCTTATCGTGCTGCTTTTTTGAAGTCAAATTGGACGGTTTTGCAGGAAGAAATTAGAGGAGTGTTCTGTTTTGTATCGAATGTGAACAAAGAGCGAGGAAGGCGATGTCTGGTATTCCTGGAACCGGATAAGAATGTTGATTTCATTATGGAAACAATCCGACAGGTGTTCCGACTGAACAACAAAGGTTTCCATACTTTTTTTTGTATCGAAAAAAAATTACCTTTTTTATTAACACTGGTTTTTTTAAAATCATTTTGAGTGTTTATCAGTAGGGTAGGTGTTTATCAGTAGGGTTTTTTTTTAATCATCGCCTTTGATAGGTGTTTTATTAACAGACAGGTGGTGGTTTTGTTATTATCAATAAATGATTTTATTATTAAGAGGCAGGTAATTTATCAGTGTAGTACTCCCTCTCTCTGGTACTTTTTTTTAGGCGATTTATGTGATTTCACTGTGAACATGCTCGAAAGTAAATAAAAAACGGAGGAACAGAAGGACTTCACTTGAATGTTGTGTGTGTATGAAGACATTTTATGACGCAGTCTCTGTGTTTCATCTCTTAGATGGATACACAGACCGAACAGTGCATGCGGGTAGGAGTGGGAGTCATCAGTACAGCCACCTACCCACCATTTTTTGAATAGTCATATAACTGATTTGCAAGACGGATTAGAAAAGAAATAGATATAAGTGAAGGAGCAAATAGTATGAGAGAGGAGGGAAAGAAGGGAAGTTAAAATGTGATGCGAACAATCGTTATATTTAAAATCCGGCGGGCAGGACATGTTGCTAGCGTTGCCAGCAGTCGCTGAATGTTGCGCATTAGTTAGTGGTATCTGCGAGAAAGAAAACAACCGCTCATGTCGAGCAGGCGCTAGTAACTGAACAGAACCGAAGGCCTATCATAACTGCTCCAACCTGCGGGAAAATCCCAGTAACATGTCCAGTCCGAGATCCCCGCTCCGATTTACCGGATGGTCTTGGTATTCTTGCCCGTATTAGGATTTGACGAACATTTCTTACTATGCTGACGTGCATTGTACACTGGGGAAAGTAGTGCTGTTACAGTGTAGAAAACTGATCGTCTGCCCCACCAGTAATTTTAATTTTAATTTTAGTTGGTATGTGTTTATGTAAGATGTAAGGAAATAAAAAAAGGAATGTGAATAAGATAAGATTAAAATCTGAATGGGGAATGTTTCGGTCCATCAAGTCACATACAGTAAGTTGATAAATGGTACTCAGTAAATTCAAATGGCCGAGAAATTGTTGTAAAAAGCTATATGAACCGAAAAAAATAGCTTAATTCTACTGAAATTATCTGAACCTGTTTTTTTTTTCTTTTCAGAGCATGGATCTAAGCCGAGCATAACAATTACACGAGCACCAGATATTGGTCGACATGAAAATGGCTTTTTTGGTAAGTTAGCAGAGAGATATTTTATTTTTGTTAGCCTGATCAGCTGCAGTTTCATTGGCTGATTCTTCTGATTATGCATCTGGCAACTTTTCCCCATTCTTCGACCAGTTTGTCAGCTTGCTGGCGATTCTGATGTTCGTTTTTGTCTCCTG